TCAGCAATAAGTAATAAGTAAGTTGTATGAGAGAAAACAGCTAGCAAGATCTGTATTGTATTAGTTAGTTAATGGGGGCATGATTTTAGATTAGCTTATAAGGAGTTATGTAACTTGAAAAAAATTATAAAGACATTCCTATTATTGTTTAGCTTCAACTAGTCAAGTAAAATTGGTATGGTTGGCTCGGTCTAAAGGCTTCCTATTGCTACGCCATGTATCCAAATTTCAAAAAATAGTAATATATAGTTTTATGTTAAGGCGTAATCGAACTTCAATTTGATTAAAGTTTGGATTCAAAATTCTGATTGGCTAATTTGAATTTCACATACGCGAATTTCAACATTAATATTAATAAAGGGTAGAGTTCGGTTACACAGTACATCAAATGGCAAAAAAACACACGACCACAATTTTAAGGTTTGAACGAATAAAACTTCTTGTAAAATTGTGAAAATTAAACAAAACTTTGGATATATACTCTCTGGGATTAAAATTATTGAACAATGTGCTTTTGATAACTTTTGTTAATAAAGTTTTACTAAAAAGGTAATGTGAAGTTAATATATGAATTAGCTTTAGAGAAAATCGGCAATAGCATTTCATGTTTATTTTTTATTATTTAATAAAGTAAATGATAAAGCTTCCAAATAAATCCAATTTATTCAACTATGTTATGTAATTGTTAAGATATGTGACATTTTTGCGACCGCCATTTGTTTTGAAACACAATCATCAAGGAGGGGAAACAAGCGACCATTATTATTGTTGCTGTTGTAAGTATTATTATTTATAACATTTGTTATTATTGTTGTTGGTGTTATTATGATTGTAACGATTGCAGCCCATTGTTATTCACAACTCCCAATTTTTTATATTCTTCTGAGGCTGCTCTAGAGACCTTTAGCTGGGAATAGTCAAGTTTATTACTGATGGGAAATCCTTTGAAAATGATGTCTCTATAAATTTGATTTCCTTTACCACTCCTGTATGTAGCGGTTCCATTGATATAGTTGCCTGAGGAACTGCAATTCAAAATGTAAAGCGATAAAAATTGAAGTCATTTTCGGTAATAATTTAGAAAATAAGATGACGATGATAATGATTATGATATTTGTGATAGTTATAAAATATAAATATGGCAATCAATATTTGTGTTTTGAAACAAATAATAGTAAAGATAATAAAGATAACGAACGTAAACGTAATAAATAATTAGAGAGTTAGACGACAATATTTTCCTTTTAATATATATTTAAACATTGCGCCTTCCCAATTTAGCATTAGAATAACAATTAGGTTCATCTTTTAAAAGCCACAATAACACGAGTATTTTAAACATTGACATAATATTTATTTTATTAATTAATCGAAAAGGCAACAGTTCATTAATTAATCGGAAAGTAATAGTTCTTCATTTATCAAAGAAATCAATAGTTTTGTTAACCGAAAAAGTAATGCTTTATTGTTTGCTAAGATAATTGATCAGAAAAAAAACAATTTGTTAACATCTCTTTCATTAATTTGGTCAAAAAGGTAATGGGTTCTTTAAAATATAATGATTTTACCTTGGTATAATAGACATGACAAAAAAAATTTTTGATTCTTTCTTTATTCTTGTAAATAATAATTAATATTATTAAATTCATGTTGATTTCAACATGAAAGAAGATAGCAGAGAAAATCAAGCACAAGTTAAAAGACTAGCAAGAGAAAAAACGGAAGATTATCAAGTGTCATTGAAAGCAAAAAGGTTTTACGACCTTGGAAAGAAAATAAATTGATCTGCAAGTTAAAAATAGAAAATTCCTTCCCCAAAAATCAAGTTTAACAAAAGTTTGATTTTCAACATCCCCTCAACATCAACATCAACATGCCATGTTGACTTCTCTCTTTCCTTTCCGTCATGATCACATCATGATCATAGAGAGTATAATCACAACATAACAAACTTCGTGAAACTGCAAATTCCTTTTTATATCCAAAAAAATCAACAATTAAAACCCTGAAATAGAGATTGAACGTTGCACTGGGTGGATCTCGTTGATTTCTTACGTTAGCGTTAAAATATTCATATTTGAAATTTGTAATTTTAGATTTACAAATATTCAAATAGGGGTAGAATTACAGTTGAGAGTCCTATTCTGCAAAAAAACGTTATTTTTTTAAAAAAATTTAAAATTTGATTTGTAAATCTTAGAGGATAAAATTAAAGTTAAATTATTAAATGGATGAAAAGTAAAGATGGGATATTTAGACTGTATCCACAATCATTATTGAAACAATTTGAACTTACAACGCATACGGAATATCGACCTTCTGACATACAAGCAGAATTTAACTCCAACGTTGATTATTGGTTTGAAGATGATGTGACCCCAGTTAAAAAATCTCAGATAGGATTTGTTGAATTGATATTACACGAACTCATTCATGGCTTGGGATTTATTTCAGCTTGGGATTCTTATTTCGATGATGTAGAAGTATTGACTCCGTTTATTTATTATCAAAATACAGAATTTCACGGATTTATTGAAGGCATATTTGATAAATTTTTAATATTATCGGATGGAACGCCACTAACAAATTTCACAAATGAATTAAATAAATTTGCTCCAGAAGGCACAAAATTTGATTCGATGTATGATCTTTATAACAAGTTTAGAGCATCCAGTCAATATAAAATTGCAACTGATATGTTAAATTACAGCACAACGGCTTTATCATTTGGTTTCTTACCAGAAGGTTCGGATTACCAAACAATTGCAACAAACAGCTCCAAAATTAATGATGAATTGTATTATCTGGAAACTAGTTTACGACCTTATCTTATGGGTTCGAGTGTCAGTCATGTGAGTCAAGACTTGTATGCAAAATCTAATGAATTCTTGATGACTTGGATACAAGATCCAGGTAGAGGATTAAACGATGCAATTAAGGATGGTGGAAATTATACCGGAGGAGCAATTGGGCCTAAACTTAAATCTGTTTTCGAATCGATGGGTTATGTAACTGGTAATAATTCAGAGCCCGAAATCCCCTTGCCTGATGATGATATACCATCAAAAAGTAGTTCAAATAATTCGAATAAGTTGTTGATGATATTATTGTTTATATTACAATTTATTTTTAATTTGATTTAATATTGATGCATTTTAAAGATCTTTTTTTTCTTTTTGTAGATAATATTATATGTATTTTTAAAATATATATAACTGTAATTATATAAATTAAGACAAAAAATTACATGTAATTCTTCGTCATCATCAAACTCTAGTGATTAATTCATTCATTGTGATTATTATTTTTATCACTTTTAAAAAATTCAAAGCTAAAACATGTCTTATGTGACATATTAATATTGACCAATCTATGTGCGTCTCAAACTCAGATACTAGAAAAAGCCCAAGCACGTTTTTATTTTATAATTAACATTATTGTTACGCGTAGTTAACTCTAAAGTCAACAAACGAAAAAAACACAACTCATGTGTATATAAAAGCTGCCCTAATTATCAATACTGACATACCAATGTATTTTTCAAACTCAGGCACTGATGATAATTCGAATGCGCGTTTTAATTTTTTTCACTTGTGAAATGTAATTTGTTGTAATATTAAAGGAGAAAATATTAGTGTAATAGTTATTATAAATCTTTGTGTTTCTCCCGTAAAGCATCTCAACAGGTTAAACGTTAGTATTGCTCTTTCCATTATAAAAGTAATGTTCATAAAATTTTCAATGTGATTAGGATAAACAGTATCTATTAGCAGGTCAATGGGATCTTTGCCATTTTGTGGATGAACAATCATTTCATCAGAGAGCCAAATTAAATTGTTTCCAATTGTAGACTCCGTTCCATTGCCTATCCTAAGGAGTATTCTGCAAATTTTTTTGGCAGTTTGGGCAACTCACATGTTATCAGTTAATGAGACTATTTGGGCTCTAGTAACATAATTTTAAAAAACCAAATACAGATGTAGTTTTTTAATTTTTTTTTTATATATACATATGTCTTTAAATGTTTAATATATTAATTGTTAAATTTATATAATAATAAAATGGTTTTCAATCTTAGTAATAAAGAAATAAGAATCATTACAAAAAGGTACACACATCAAACAATTTTATTTATTAAACTAGCTAAAAAAATGGGTTTTCGTTTCAGAAAATCCTAGTTTTGTGCCAGAACCATCCATATCACACAACATAACCAACAGTTTCTAATAGTTTCAGAAATTACTTCCTTCCAAGCTTTAGCACAAAGTTCAATTGCATCAGAGATTTTAAATTGTTCAAGAGGCATATCAAGGCTTTGGTTTAAATCGTAAACATCAGTTCTGTTGCTCACAAGAAATTTTCTATAATGAGCCTGGAAAAATGATAGTTAGAATAAATATTTAAGCAAATAAAATATTTATCATTTATAATACTTTACTTTAAAGGAATTTATAATTACTACATCAGCAGATTGTAGATGGGCAGTTGTAATAGGAGGAAGGTGATGAAGTGTGATATTTGTTCAAATGGTTGCTTGACCAAAAATGTGTACTGGTGCATTATCAAACAATAATAAAATATTTTTATTTTCCCTGACCATCTCTGGTTCAACTTTATCAAATATTGATTCTAAATAGAAACCTGCATCCAGGCTTTTGTGTTCCAATAGTAATCAACTCATACATGATGGCGAAAGTCATTTGATAAAATTCGAAACTTTCGAAAAAATCACACAAGTTTTCGAAATCGAAATACCCTTGGCGAAATTAAAATCAAAATCTAAATTCAAAGTCGAAATCTAAATTCAAAATCGAAATCAAAATTCAAAATTGAAATAAATCAAAATCGAAATTCAAAAAAATTGAAATAAAAGCACTTTAAAGACATTAATGCAAAAATTATTTATTAATTTCGATTTTCGAATTTTGATTACAAATTTCGATTTTGATTTCGATTTTCGATTTTGATTTTTCCGAAACCTGTTAGGGTATGTTCGAAATGTTTGAGCCTTAATCGTCGAAATTATTGTCGAAACAAAACTATTTCGCCATCATGTATGATTAATGCAAAAATGAAAAAAAGCTATTTATTAATTTCGATTTTCGATTTCTAATTTCGATTTTTTTGAAACCTGTTAGGGTATATTCGAAATGTTTGAACCATAATCGTCGAAATTATTGTCGAAACAAAACTATTTCCCCATCATGTATGAAGCTAATATACATACATATAAGAAAGGTTCATAGATTTTATGCAAACAATTTCCTTATTTGTATTTCAAGATTGACAAGGTTTTTTATAATAAACTGAACACAGACTTTTCATCCATTTAATAATTTAACTTTAATTTTATCCTCTAAGATTTACAAATCAAATTTTAAATTTTTTTAAAAAAATAACGTTTTTTTGCAGAATAGGACTCTCAACTGTAATTCTACCCCTATTTGAATATTTGTAAATCTAAAATTACAAATTTCAAATATGAATATTTTAACGCTAACGTAAGAAATCAACGAGATCCACCCAGTGCAACGTTCAATCTCTATTTCAGGGTTTTAATTGTTGATTTTTTTGGATATAAAAAGGAATTTGCAGTTTCACGAAGTTTGTTATGTTGTGATTATACTCTCTATGATCATGATGTGATCATGACGGAAAGGAAAGAGAGAAGTCAACATGGCATGTTGATGTTGATGTTGAGGGGATGTTGAAAATCAAACTTTTGTTAAACTTGATTTTTGGGGAAGGAATTTTCTATTTTTAACTTGCAGATCAATTTATTTTCTTTCCAAGGTCGTAAAACCTTTTTGCTTTCAATGACACTTGATAATCTTCCGTTTTTTCTCTTGCTAGTCTTTTAACTTGTGCTTGATTTTCTCTGCTATCTTCTTTCATGTTGAAATCAACATGAATTTAATAATATTAATTATTATTTACAAGAATAAAGAAAGAATCAAAAATTTTTTTTGTCATGTCTATTATACCAAGGTAAAATCATTATATTTTAAAGAACCCATTACCTTTTTGACCAAATTAATGAAAGAGATGTTAACAAATTGTTTTTTTTCTGATCAATTATCTTAGCAAACAATAAAGCATTACTTTTTCGGTTAACAAAACTATTGATTTCTTTGATAAATGAAGAACTATTACTTTCCGATTAATTAATGAACTGTTGCCTTTTCGATTAATTAATAAAATAAATATTATGTCAATGTTTAAAATACTCGTGTTATTGTGGCTTTTAAAAGATGAACCTAATTGTTATTCTAATGCTAAATTGGGAAGGCGCAATGTTTAAATATATATTAAAAGGAAAATATTGTCGTCTAACTCTCTAATTATTTATTACGTTTACGTTCGTTATCTTTATTATCTTTACTATTATTTGTTTCAAAACACAAATATTGATTGCCATATTTATATTTTATAACTATCACAAATATCATAATCATTATCATCGTCATCTTATTTTCTAAATTATTACCGAAAATGACTTCAATTTTTATCGCTTTACATTTTGAATTGCAGTTCCTCAGGCAACTATATCAATGGAACCGCTACATACAGGAGTGGTAAAGGAAATCAAATTTATAGAGACATCATTTTCAAAGGATTTCCCATCAGTAATAAACTTGACTATTCCCAGCTAAAGGTCTCTAGAGCAGCCTCAGAAGAATATAAAAAATTGGGAGTTGTGAATAACAATGGGCTGCAATCGTTACAATCATAATAACACCAACAACAATAATAACAAATGTTATAAATAATAATACTTACAACAGCAACAATAATAATGGTCGCTTGTTTCCCCTCCTTGATGATTGTGTTTCAAAACAAATGGCGGTCGCAAAAATGTCACATATCTTAACAATTACATAACATAGTTGAATAAATTGGATTTATTTGGAAGCTTTATCATTTACTTTATTAAATAATAAAAAATAAACATGAAATGCTATTGCCGATTTTCTCTAAAGCTAATTCATATATTAACTTCACATTACCTTTTTAGTAAAACTTTATTAACAAAAGTTATCAAAAGCACATTGTTCAATAATTTTAATCCCAGAGAGTATATATCCAAAGTTTTGTTTAATTTTCACAATTTTACAAGAAGTTTTATTCGTTCAAACCTTAAAATTGTGGTCGTGTGTTTTTTTGCCATTTGATGTACTGTGTAACCGAACTCTACCCTTTATTAATATTAATGTTGAAATTCGCGTATGTGAAATTCAAATTAGCCAATCAGAATTTTGAATCCAAACTTTAATCAAATTGAAGTTCGATTACGCCTTAACATAAAACTATATATTACTATTTTTTGAAATTTGGATACATGGCGTAGCAATAGGAAGCCTTTAGACCGAGCCAACCATACCAATTTTACTTGACTAGTTGAAGCTAAACAATAATAGGAATGTCTTTATAATTTTTTTCAAGTTACATAACTCCTTATAAGCTAATCTAAAATCATGCCCCCATTAACTAACTAATACAATACAGATCTTGCTAGCTGTTTTCTCTCATACAACTTACTTATTACTTATTGCTGATGTGACTTTTTTATTTAGTTTTAACATTTCAGGAGTTAAGTAAAATATCTTGCAACTTGGTAAAAGCTTCCTTTTTTTTATTAGCTTCTTGTCCACATATAAAAATAATGTTGATATATCACGCCTATTTAGATTATAAACTTGATCTATTGCTACCTACCATTGCAGACAACTGGTAACGTAAGCTTTCCCCCATCAGTTGGCATTAGCATAAAAACATCTTTTCCATTAAACATTTTGTCGATGGTTTCCAACTGGTTCCTTCTGAAATTTTCTATTATGTAAAATATTTTTACTTCTATTGACCATTCATTATTGTCATTATCATTACTAAGATCTTCTTCATCCTCGCTATAAACAAGTTCATAAAAATAAACTTCTCTTTGGACAATACTTACATGATGGAATCTGTCAATTGGCTTGTTTGCCTTTTCTTTTTCTTACATCTATTGATGACATTTTTGACATTTCTGAGGATAAAATAAAAGCGTTAATATTTATTTTTTAGTACCACATTTTTTTTGAATTCATTAATGAAGTGACCAAAGATTTATATTTTTGCATCAATGCTTTTTTTTTTACACAATAGTCTAAATACCTTACCTTGTATGTATAGACTTAGAGCAAAATTTATTGTCATGTCATCTACATTATATTAGTAATAGGTAATTATACAAGATTATCATGATGATAACAAGCAAGTGGTTGGTGGGTTTGCTTTTTGTAATTGTTATTAACGTTAAACAATGTTAATAAATAATTATAAAAGATGTCAGAGGTGAAAAAGCAACACGACTATTTAAAATATCTTCTTTTGGAAATTTGCACATACTTGGACAATTTGGAAACATTAAAAACATTAGGCAACTTGATATGCAACGTTTGATTGTTGGATGGAAACTTGTAGATGCTGAAGTGTATTACTTGGGGCTCAAATATTGTAATCATTCTCTTATTCCTCGTGCACATGAGGCTAATCTGAATTGTTCCTCTGATGGTATGATGGCGCAATTAAATTACAGAGGAGGTGGTGTGGCTCTGAGGTTGCATGAAGTTGTATTATTTTTGGGATTTTGGAAGTGATTTTAAAGGAACTTTGCATACAATCGAGAAGCACAACACACAAATACACACACACAGCAAACAACATGTACAGAATACACAGCACACATTATATGCACACACATGCACAAAAAAAGGGAGCCAAATAGAGACTTGGCTACTAAGAATTCTTCCACTACCATTGTTCTACATGCACGACTCATGTTTTTGGTGGCCAGTATGCAGTTCTGACTTTGAAAATTTTTTCTTTTCTCAAGCGTCAAGTACAGCAAATACAACCAACACCAATGCATAATGCTCCTTCCCGTAAACATCAAAGCATCCAGATCTGGGTTTCCAAATAAGATCGGGAGTTTGGCATTGTTCGATTGACAAAACTTCAATTAGTCTCATGGAAAGTCTTTGAAGACGATGTTTGTTGTTTGGTACAGACAGATACATTTATACTAAAATAAATAGCAATTCTACTTATAAAATAATAAAACTATATAACCTTTATTCTTATACTTTATTTACATATAAATAAATATTTGATTTCATAAATAAATTATCGTTTTAAATAAAATAAACAGGATTTTATATTTTTAAATATACAGTAGCCCAAAGGATCATACAACAACAAATTATTGAATGTGCCAGATTTCAAAATGAAAATAAAATTCCAAAGATATGATAATTATGAGAAGTTATTATCATTAATAATTAATTATCTATAATTTTCATTTCTCAACAAAATTTAATAACTTATTCAGGTAATTCATCTGGTATGGTTAATTCAATTTGTGTAGAATCTACAAAAGTAGTTAATTCAATTTGTTTAGAATCTATAAAAACCATAATAATGGATATTTCATCCATTTCATCAAACTCTTTTCTAATTGGTTTTAATTCATCCCGCTGTTCTTTTGAATTGTTTATTACATTAGATGAATCATCATCAGTAGGAAATTGTTGTCCTGATTTATTTTGTAAATTAGCCTGCTTAATTAATCTACCAAGCGGGCGACTAGTATAGAATGCATTTAAATGGTGTTTATAATTTTTTGAATCTGACAAGTATTTCACTGATTTAATGATCCCTTTGCGTTTTGATTCTGCTAAATCAATGATTTTCTGTCTTTCTTCAGAAATATTAAAAAAATATCCATTGTTTGGTACAGACAGATACATTTATACTAAAATAAATAGCAATTCTACTTATAAAATAATAAAACTATATAACCTTTATTCTTATACTTTATTTACATATAAATAAATATTTGATTTCATAAATAAATTATCGTTTTAAATAAAATAAACAGGATTTTATATTTTTAAATATAAAGTAGCCCAAAGGATCATACAACAACAAATTATTGAATGTGCCAGATTTCAAAATGAAAATAAAATTCCAAAGATATGATAATTATGAGAAGTTATTATCATTAATAATTAATTATCTATAATTTTCATTTCTCAACAAAATTTAATAACTTATTCAGGTAATTCATCTGGTATGGTTAATTCAATTTGTGTAGAATCTACAAAAGTAGTTAATTCAATTTGTTTAGAATCTATAAAAACCATAATAATGGATATTTCATCCATTTCATCAAACTCTTTTCTAATTGGTTTTAATTCATCCCGCTGTTCTTTTGAATTGTTTATTACATTAGATGAATCATCATCAGTAGGAAATTGTTGTCCTGATTTATTTTGTAAATTAGCCTGCTTAATTAATCTACCAAGCGGGCGACTAGTATAGAATGCATTTAAATGGTGTTTATAATTTTTTGAATCTGACAAGTATTTCACTGATTTAATGATCCCTTTGCGTTTTGATTCTGCTAAATCAATGATTTTCTGTCTTTCTTCAGAAATATTAAAAAAATATCCATGGAAACAATAATAAATTTCCTGTGCAGTTGGTCTATTTTTTGGATTTGAATTCCAACATTTTTTCATCAATTCAGCATAGAATTCAGGAGTGTCTTTGGTGATATTAGGTCTTATTCCTCTCATGATACGCATTATTAGATGATGGTCATGTGGTACATTATAAAAAGGTTTTTTGCCTGTGGTATGTTCCCACATAATCATCCCAAAACTATAAATGTCTGATTCTTTTGTATATTGTTTACCTGATAATACTTCAGGTGCCAGGTATGGAATGACTCCAAAGATCTCATTTGAATTCTCTTTATTATTTATTAATTGTTGACATAATCCTAAATCTCCTATTTTACTCCAACCATGATAACCATTACGAAAAGAAAAAATATTACCACTATGCAAGTCACGATGAACATAATTTTCATCATGAATTTTCTTTAATCTAATTTATTTTAATAATGATGGTGATGATAATAAAAATGTATAAAGTTAAAGTTAGTTAATTTTATAAAAAAATTTTTAATTTAATAATAAAATTAAAATTTACCCATCTGAAATATGATAAAGTGAATACATTTTATTTTCCCAAGCAATTTCCTTGAAATTTTTTGATAAATTATTATGTAAATCTCCATTTTCGGCATACCGAAATACTAACATATATTCATTTGTGCTTGGATCTTTAGTAATTCCAAAACATTCACTGACATGATACCCCATTTTATTATTTGCTTTTAACTAAAAATTATAAATTATAAATACAATTAATATTATTTATTATATAACATTATAACAATAATTAATATTACCTCTTTTAAAATATCCATGATTTTATCATTTGAGTTATATATCCTTTTTAATACCACATTTAGTTCAAGTTGACCATATGAAATATAATGTATATAATGATTGATCCAGACTGCTTTATGAACTTTGCCAAAACCACCTTTGGCCAAATACTCTATATTTTTGAATTCATCAAAGGGAATCCACTCAATATTATTTTCAATTTCATTTTTATTTTTGTACTGATAAAGAAATTTGGCTATTTCTTTATTTCCACAATCAGCTGCTAAATTATCAATTGCCTTTTCTTTGCAACCATTGCATAATACAACTTTGTTCAATCTAACATCTATGTGAGTTAAAATTCCATATGATTCCTGAATTATTTTTTTACTTTCTTTTTCATTTTTTTTTTCTAATCTATCGGAAAGCATTACTAGTAAATCAATTGTTTTATGTAACAAATAGTAAATAAGATCATCTTCATCTTTTAGCAAATCGATATTAAATCGATTCCATCCCTTAATTTGCATTATTTTTTTATTACAATCAGTACACTTTACTATGAATTGTAATGTTTCAAGCAATTCTTTTAGAATGTTATTCATTCTAATTTGTCTACCACTATAATGGTGATAAATTGATTTACATAATAAATCATATTTTGGGTAAATCGATTCAATTAATAGTTTTAATTCATTCGCCAATTCCAATACCTTCGCATTCATCTTTAAATAATCCCTTGTATTTATTTATAAGAGAAATATTAAATTCTCACTTCTAGACATATTTCGAGTTTTGTATGACAAAATTGTATTGTTTTTTCATTTTAAACCAATAAGCAACGTTTACTATATGTTTTCCCAATCCTACTAGCAATTTTGTACGTTCTTGTGTCCGTCTGGTATTTGTTTTTTTTAAGATTATCAATATTTAATGTTATGTTAGTTGTACAACTGTGTATTTTATAATTAAAATAATTTTTTGTTTTTATTTGTCTGTTTATTTATTATTATTATGTTATATATTTTGTGTAGGTAAATAATTACAGTGGTATTTTTGTTATTATTTTTTTTTCTTTATCTATTGTAGTCTTAAAGCCTCCTTATATACAATGTTTTTTGTATAAATTCTGACCTTGCCCTGTACTATTTCGTTATTTACAAATGCATTGAGATTACATACTCTTGACATTGCCACATATAATTATCCATGAAAGAAAATGGGCTGTGGAAGATATAGGCCAACATAGGGTAACGTTTGACCTGGATATTTGTTGATAGTCAAGGCAAATGCTGGTTGTACGGGGAATTGCTTTCTTTTTAGCACAAAAGGTAATCCGGTATCTTCTGTTGATGTAAGGGGAATTCTAGGGATAAATACACGTTTACCTTGATGATCTCCTGTTATTATTTCAGTATCAATTATTTGGGATTGGAATTGACAACAGATAAGTCTTGTTCTGTTGCAAAGTCTGTTGACTGGATCTAGGTTTCTAAGTAACATGATAGGAGCATTGACTTTCAGAATGAGTTCATGTGGAGGGAGACCTTGGAATTAAGATATTCAATTGAGTATAGATTTGTTTTGTCTTCTGGTATTGAATCAAAGCTATAATATGTATAGTGTTCTCCAGTATATTTGATCATAATTCACCCATTGATTTCATCAACATCATTGTTTAATAGGGTTAGTATTGCTCTTTCCATTATAAAAGTAATGTTCATAGAATTTTCAATGTGATTACTGGATTAGGATAAACAGTATCTATTAGCAGGTCGATGGGATCTTTGCCATTTTGTGGGTGAACAATCATTTCATCGGAGATCCAAATTAAATTGTTTTCAATTGTAGGCTCTGTTCCATTGCCTATCCTAAGGAGGTATTCTGCAATTTTTTTTTGGCAGTTTGGGCAACTCACATGTTATTAGTTAATGAGAAGATACGAACATGGTGCCATAAATGGGATTTATTAAGAGCAGCATTGACTATTTGGGCTCTAGTAACATTAATATTTATAAGTACAGATGGAATCTATTATATTAAAAACGTCGGGCTCACGTGAGCCTAACGTTTAGAATGGCGCGTACGCATAAATAAACATAATGTTTAGAATAACGCGCGCGTATAAATAAACGTAACGTTTAGGTTGCCACGCATAAATAATGATTTTTGAATTGTGCAATAATGCAAACGTGTGTCACAATCTATGTCGTTGGGTTACGTTTAGACTACCATACAGGCACGTAAATAAATATGTTGTGATGCGTAACGTTTTAGATTACCGCACGCAATCTATTTATTATTGTATCGTTGGGTTACGTTTAGACTACCACAGGCACGTGTTGTGATGCGTAACTTTTAGACTACCGCACACAATCTATTTATTGTTGTATCGTTGGGTTACGTTTAGATTACCACAGGCACGTAAATAAATATGTTGTGATGCGTAACTTTTAGACTACCACATGTAAATGATTTTTAAATTGTAATCCATCGGCGAAGTGACGGATTACATCTAATTATTAATAAAGAAATAAAAATCAATACACTAAAAACAGTTAATCTATCACACATACCAATAAACTTTTATATATCTGATTTATTTTAATAAAAATATTAATGTATAAAAATCGGACAGAAATTAGAATTTTAACAATATACAGCCAAACCTTGTCACAGCGGATTATAATTAAATTCTTGTCATAGCGGATTTTTAAAATTCTTGCTTCTACAAATCATATAAAAATCCGTTGTGGCAAGATTAGTAATAGTAATATAATCTTGACACAACGGATTTAATAAAATTTTCTTATATATCCCGTTCATCTGATGTGACAAGGTTTGACTGTAGATTTTTTAAAAAAATTTTTTTTTGTGCACTGGTATACATATATTTTTATTTAATAAACGTCAAATCATAGCGCATAGAACCGACCAATCAAATCACCAGAAATTAGATATGATTTCTAATATTAATTATTTAAATCGGGTAACTAAATTTTAAGATAAATTATTATTTTAATGTTGAAATTTGTTTTATATATATTTCTAACGTGAAATGAGTATTTCTCTATTATTCAATGATATAAGCAACACAAACAAAACGGGACGTGCAATATATTATTCTGCAAATAATTAGATCATTTGGGATTTTATAGATAATATAATATTTTCCTTTTTGTAAATATTTACCAGATGTATATTTACTGCATTTTCTGTCCCATTCTCTTTAAATCATTAAGCTTCATAATTTCTACCGAGATTAATCCTTTTTCAAAATCATCATGAATACTATGATTAATTATATATTACATTGTATAATAATTATGGTTGCTTGCGAAAACTCCTCCAGAAATCAATCAGCAGAGTTTCAGCAGGTTACACACTAAGTTAATAGAATTTTGTATTTGAGGTTTTTGGCAATTGGCAGAGTTTCGGAAGAAATCTGGTGTACACTCCAGCAGCTTTTGGCACTTTTGTTTGTTTCTAACTAGATAGATATAAAGGAAACAATAGATTAATGAAATGTTATAAATATAAATTCATCACACTCAAACAAATAAAAATAAAACAAAAAATAATAATATTTACTCTAAATGAAATATAGATCACTCTTTATTATTCCAATTTGTTTTTCTAATGTCTTTTTTATCTTCTTTAAAATTTCTGTACAGGTTCCTACAAAATATTATAATATATAAAAAATCAAAATAAATAAATGTATATAAATATTATTTATTAACAATTCTTCTTTTTTAGCTTTATCAGCTGTACTTCTACCTTTTCTGACATGTGTAGCATTTTTGATAACCCTTCAACTTTTTTTAGCCAAAAATTCTGTCTTTAAAATGAAGTTCATTGTGAATGATTTCTAAATCACTAATAGGATCAATTTCTCCTTCAACATGAATTATATCTTCAGAAAAAGCTCCCAATTTTTTAAATAATAATAATAAATATAATAATAGTAACAATATTTAATATATTTATATATAATTTCATTAATTTAAAGGATACAAACAACATGAAATATTGCATCTACAGCCCTAATATGATTAAGAAAGTTGTTTCCTAAACCAGCACCAGCAAATGCACCTTTAACCAAACCAGCAATATCAATAACAGTAAGATAAGCTGGTACCTTAGAAACTGGTTTATATGATTCACATAACCAATCAAATCAAGCATCTGGTACTGAAACTCATGCTTTTTCGGGATCTGTATAAATGATTATTATTGTTAATATATTTCTTCAATTTTAAAATATTCATATAAATGTGTACCAACCAGCTGTACAAAAATGGATAACTTTTTGCTGTTACAGCACTATTTGTAAGGGCGTTGTTTGGAATTTCACAAATTCCAAAAATTTTATTTGTGTCAATCGTGTTAGATTTGATTTTCTTAGAATGTAGCACACTTCAAATTTAGCTTGATGACACATGAAATCTAAATAAATATGTGATAGATCGTGTAAGATTACCCATTTAGGATATAAAAAAATTGGAAGAGTGAGATATATAGTGCAAGACACCTAGTCCCACAACTTTTCATTGTCCTTGTAGATCCTTCTCTAACTCCAAAAATGGAAATGTAACACCAAAAAAATAAGCCGTAATTTTGAAGCTAAGACCTTTCTCTACA